CAGCAGAACGCATTCTCTGCCCCCCCAGGGCTTCCATTATCACCCGGTCTTTCTTCTGGGTTTTGGGGGCTGTGGTCATTTGACTGGCCAAGTTACGATGATGCCACTCTTGTACATGCACGCGGGAGCCTCAACTGTGGCACAGCTCTCTTAATGGATAGCACGCTGTCTGCTGAGAGCGCAGTGGGCATGCGTCAGTGACATTACCAGCACTGTTAAAGTAATTATCTCCTAAACGGTGCACGTGCCTTATCATGGGTTTAAATGTAGGTAAAAAAGACTTTACTACCACTTTAAAGGATAAAACTTTAGAATCTGAAAGTCATTCTTCTGAGGGATGAAGGTCCAGTTGGTAAATATGACCTTTGACCAATGTTATTCAATACTACATATAGTTAAATAGAAAGGGTGTCAAAAAGGGTTAATAGGAAAGCTGGTAGCACTCTGCAGAATTTTAGGGTGGGGGTGGGGGTTGGGGTAATTGGACTAGGATGCTTGCGCTTGGCTGGGGACATCACTGGTCCTTATGTAGATTTAACCACTTATCCTCCTGAGGATTTACCCCCCTTCCTGACCAGGCCATTTTTTGCATTACAGGTCTACGTTACTTGAACTGACAATTGCGTAGTCATGCAATGCTGCACCCAAATGAAATTTACATTCCCACAAATTGAGCTTTCTTTCGGTGGTATTTGATCGCCTGTGCATTTTTTATTTTTTGCTCTATAAAAAAAAAAGTCTGACAATTTTGAGAAATAAACTATATTTTTGACTTTATGCTATTAACCTCCCTAGCGGTATGATTATGTCCATATTTCGGTGCTGAAAGAGGTACATTTTTTTTTTTGCATGACAATTTTGAAAATATGTCATTTTTTTTTTGTAGGCCTTAACCTTTTTAGGAATTTTAATTCACTGAAATCTTTCCATGAAATATGTCAAGTAGTGTCATAGGAATAACATCCTGGGTATAATAAAACTTGAAACACTTGAAACACGAAATCATAAATTATAATATAATAAATAATCATAAAAATAATCTAATAATAATAAATTTAATTCAATAATATAATCAAAACAAAAACACTGAAATTTGAAATATAGCGCCAAGTTCGCACATCGCTGAGCAAGGTTGCAAAATCGTTTTCAGTGTCTGATGACGAATTTCCCCACAAATCAATGTCACTCAATTCTGCAAGTGGTTCTAATTTACTATCGCTGTTCTCTAGCTGGTCTAAAACCACTTTTGACCTAAAGGGACGCTTTTTGGACGCCATGGACGTTTCTCAGTTTCCAGGCAGAAAGAACAGTAAAAATGCAGGCAGGGCACAGGACAAAGCACTAGGGACAAAATGTATGTGAAATGGTGTGATACAGTAATGTTATACTATGTGATTTTAGTGAATTTTGTGAATGTCAGTTTTTAAAATGTTCAAATCTCCCGCTGTTTCCGCCCCCCCCGTACGTCCTGTACGTCCCAACGCTCGCAGGGACCGGAAAACAAGTGCTGGCATCGGCCGGAGGAGATGGCCGGGGACGCTGCAGGGGACACATCGCAGGAGCGCAGGACAAGCTAAGTGCTGCAGGGAATCCCTGAGCAATGCTGCATGGTAAGCCCGAGTGTAGCTCGGGTTACCGCTTTTGGTGCTGAAACTTTACCCCGAGCTACACTCGGGAATACCGCTAGGGAGGTTAAACATGTCCAGTGAAAAGATTTAAAAAATCAAATTTCATCATAAATTTAGACCAAATGTATTGTGCTACATGTCTTTGCTAAAATAAAATCCCAATACGTGTAATTAATTGGTTTATGTGAAAGTTATAGCGTTTACAAATGGCAGTATATATACTGGATTTTTTTTTTCTTTTTACTAGTGATGGCAGTGATCAGCGACTTATAGCGGGACTGTGGGACTGTAGCGGGCATTCAGACACTGGGGGAACTAATTTGGTGTCACTGACATCCCCAGTGATACTAATACAGTGATCAGTGCTAAAAAAAAGCATTGACACTGTACTAATGGCACTGGGCAGGAAGGGGTGAACATGAGTGGTCATCAAAGGGTTAACTGTGTGCTGGAATTGTTTTACTAGGGGGCTGTGTGTTGGTGCTTCATTGTAAGCACGCTGCTTTGGATGGCTGTGCTGTGCACATGGTACATCTACCCCTAGTGTAGTCACTTTTTGATAGATAACGTTTCATCAAACCGATCATTTTCTTGATATGAGCTGCTTTGCTGTTTCAGAGCAGTTGCAGTACAGCTTCAAGGCAGAAAGAGGTAGAAGGAGGATTCAGAGATACACCTCTTTTCCAATGGTACTCTTGGCAGTCTTCAAAAGCCAATAAGGTTGACTAGTTATCTTGAATTTTGTTGTACATCTGCTCACACTATGCACTTGGTATTACTTCCAACAAATGGATGTGGTAAAAAGGATGAATTCCCAAAATTTGTGGTCAACAGAGGCGCCCATTAAATAAAAAAGGTTCTTCCAAGTGAATTCTTCAGAACGTCAGTATTTATTGATCATAAAAACAGGTTAAAACACCATTGATGCGTTTCATAGCTCTTTAGTGGCAGCTTTGTCAGGAAAAGGTGCCTACGAAGTGGTTACTAAAGAACTATAAAATGTGTTGATGGTGTTTTAACCTGTTTTTTAACCACATGCTGGTTCCATTTCGGGGCCTCATCCTTTTTTACTAGGGTTACACTGATACTGATACCGGTATCATTGCCGATACTAAGCATTCACAGGAGTATTAGTACTCGTGCGAATGCTCCGATACCTGAAACCGATACCTTTGCAGTGCAGTTTGAGCCCATACAAAATGAATAGGCTGAAATCACACTGTAAAGAATCGCATGTGATTTGAACAGGAATGCGGCGTGATTCCTGTCCAAATCACGTGTGTTTTCCCTGCGAGTGCGGTGTGATTTTGTAGTGCAATTTGAGCCATTCATTTTGTATGGAGAGCATTTTGTATGTATGCACAAGTATCAGTACTCGTACTTGCCGATAATAAAAAACGGTATCGGTGCAACCCTACTTTTTATCGTTGTTCACTGGTTCTGATTGAAACTTAGCCCAGTGCAAGAATTTCCAGAAAACCCTGATTTATTTATTACAAGCACTTATATAGTGCTGTCAACTTACGCAGCGCATTACATTATATATTGCACATTCATATGAGTCCCTAACCCTCATGGAGCGTACAATCTAAGCTCTCTAATTCACATTCATACATACACATACTAGGGCTAATTTAGACAGGAGCCAATTAACCTACCAGCATGTTACGGAGTATGGGAGAAAAGCAGAGTACCCGTAGGAAGCCCATGCAGGCACAGGGAGAACATACAGACTCCAGGCAAGTAGCGTAATGGTTGGGATTCCAACCAGTGACCCTAGTGCTGTTAGGTGGAAGTGGTAACCACTTAGCCGCTGTGCTGCCCGCAGTGATGACTGCTGAGTGTGAACACCCACACTGTGTGGAAACTGCAACCTTATGCTTACTACTTCCACTTTGGCCATATGTTTCACATACGTACAACTTAATACTATTCTTAGACAGATCTCTCTCATGGATTTTTATCCCTCTTTTTCCCTTGTCTCTGCTCATATGGAGCACCACTGACTCAACAAATGGGTGTAGCACTTTTAAATAAAAAGCAAAAAATATTTTAGAAGGACAAAGTGAAAAGTTTACTAATGTATAGCAATTGGAAGTTGTAGTTCATTGTTTTGCCTGTTCCATACATTTGAATTTGATGTTTTATAGGTTGAATACTCATGGGTCAAGGTTTGTTTAATATTCACTATTACAAGTAAAATGGTAAACTTTGCAGAAAAAAATAAAGCAAACAATTGAACTGATTAATTTAACATAATTCTGTATTTTTATATTTCAATTTATTTGGGGCAGCACAGTGGCTAAATGCCGCCTGGCAGTACTAGGGTTCAAATCTCAGCCACGGCACCACCTGCCTGGAGTTTGCATGTTCTCCCTGTGCCTGTGTGGGTTTTCCTTCGGGTACTCTAGTTTTCTACCACACTCCAAAGACATGCTGGATCCTGTCTAAATTGGCCCTTGTATATGAATGTGAGTTAGGGACCTTAGATTGAACACCCCTTGAGGGTTAGGGACTGATGTGAATGTACAATATATATGTAAAGTGCTGCATAAATTGACGGCGCTATATAAGTACCTGAAATAAAAAAATAAAATTGAGAAATAAACTAGTGGCATGGTTTTTGTTTTATCCAGTGCTGGATCTTAATGTTATTCAAGCTAAATATCTGTTTATGATATAGCACTATAGCTGCAGGCTGTTTACATTTTGTGAATTGTAGGGCAAAGTGTTTTTTTTTAACTGGTTACTAGAGATAGGCAGTGTGACTGTATAGAAATTGAGTTTGCCAAAAAATTGGCAATTTTGTTTTGGCGAATTTATGGGAAGGTCTTTTCAAATTGATCTTATGCATTTTGCTTTAGGCTGGTCATACACTGTACAATTTTCTTACAGTTTTCTGTCCAATTTCTGCCCAATTTCCTTTAGATTTACCTTCCACTATGTAGTACAAGGGCCTCCTAATTAGATACAATTGAAAGTGTTGTAAGATGGAATACATTGGAGTCATTCAGAGGGCCATTTGGTGAAAATTCATCTTAAGGTGAAATCAGCAGTTTTACAGCAAACTGGTCAAAATCACTCCAGGCTTCCCCAGAACTAGAAGTTACCATTTTTGAAGGAAGAAGCTGCTGCCAGAGGCGGACTGACCATTTGGAAACTCAGGCACTGCCCGAGGGCCCGGGGTCAGTAGGGGGCCCCATGAGATGCCCCTGGTACCTTTTTCATAGGCTTTTTTGAGTTTTGGCAAGGACACAGGGGCCTCATGATCCCCTATTGCCCGGGGGCCCCATGAGTTGTCAGTCCGCCCCTGGCTACTGCTTTTATGGTTTGGACAAAAACAATAGCACAAATTGGTTGTAAGTGTCTTACACATCACCAGGAATGAAAAAGGTAGCCATATGTTGCTGCTGTTCTGCCTCGTAATCCATAGCAACTAATTAAAAATTGGGTTTCAGCAGTGAGTAAACATATAGGTTTAGTGTGGTAAAAATGGGTCATTGGGCTGCGTTTTTACCACCCTCCTTAAAGTGTTACTAAACTCACAACAATAAAATCAGTCACTGTGGAACCTAAGGGGTTAATCCTCTGCATTGTGTAAAAATTCTGTTTGATCCTGACTTCTCCACCCCTCCTCTTGTTCAAATATCCACGCTGATAAGACAGACTGAACCTGTAGCCCTTCTGCACATACTCAGTCCAGTGTGTATTGCTAGAGAGGTTTGTTTTTTTTTGGGAGAGTGCATGTGATCAGCACAGGGCCAATCAGCACTGTCCAGACAGAGATCAGGGGTTCTGCATCCTCCTAGAGCAGAAAGAAAACTCTTCCCACAGGATTTAACCAGTGTTCAGCTGAAGCCACAAGACTGCTCTAACTGCTGATGAGGAAAGGTATTTAGTAGTTTATATTTACTAAAATAACTGCATTTCCATGTTCTGTGTACTATGAGAGACCAGATATAGTGAATGCAGGGTCCAGGGTTTAGTAACACTTTAAGCTGCAAAGGCAGTCAGATAGGGGTGTACACATGATTTGGCTGTATTGCAAAAATGAACCCCCGTCATGTTCAGTGGGCAGTGCAGCTGTTAAATACGACCCATTCAAATATTATTTATTTATTTCAGGTACTTATATAGCGCCATCAAATTACGCAGTGCTTTACACATATATATTGTACATTCACATCAGTCCCTAACTCTCAAGGAGTGTACAATCTAAGGTCCCTAACTCACATTCATACATACACAAATTAGGGCCAATTTAGAAAGGATCCAATTAGCTTACCAGCATGTCTTTGGAGTGTGGGAGGAAACCGGAGTACCTAGAGGAAACCCACGCAAGCACAAGTATTTGCATTCCCGTTGCAAAAGGCTGTTTGGCTGTCAACAACATAAGCACAGGCATTCAGGAGGTGGAAGTTTCTCCTCTAGAATGCCTGTCAGATGTGCTCACACCAATCTGTGAAAAGGAATCCCCCCCGGAATGCTCTTCACAAAACAATGTATGTGTAAATGAGACACATAAAGCTTTTTACTCCATACTGTGAATTATTGCATATATCTTCTCATTTTTTAAATAAAGTAATCTCTGTGGGGTTGATGTACTAAAACTGGTGCACTCAGAATCTGGTACAGCTGTGCATGGTAGTCAATCAGCTTCTAACTTCAGCTTGTTCTAAGTGTTACTAAACCCACAACAGTAAAACCAGTCAGTATATGCAGTAAAGCATGCTTGTTATACTCACTGTGGAACCTAAGGGGTTAATCCTCTGCATTGTGCAAAAAAGCTGTTTGATCCTGTATTCTCTGATCCTCCTCTTCTTCCATTGTCCCCAACTCATCTCCTAATAACAAAGAGTCTTTGAAGTCACTCTGCACATGCTCAGTTTAGTGTGTATCTGCTAGAGAGTTTTTTTTTCTTTTCTTTTGGACAGTGCATGTGATCAGCACAGAACCAATCAACAATGTCCAGAAAGAGGGTCAAGCAGGGGCGTACTGACAACTCATGGGGCCCCAGGCAATAGGGGATCATGGGGTCTCTGTGTCCTTTCCCAAACTCAAAAAAGCCTATGAAAAAGGTACCAGGGGCATCTCATGGGGCCCCCTACTGACCCTGGGCCCTCGGGCAGTGCCCAAGTTTCCAAATGGTCAGTCCACCCCTGGGGTCAAGGATTATGCAGCCTCATAAGGCAGTCATAGGAGTATGAAACCTCCTCCTACAAGATTTAACCAGTGCTCAGCTGGACACTGAAAGAAGTCACAAGATGAGAAAAGGTATTTAGCAGTTTTATATTTACTAAAATAATTGCACTTCCATGCTCTGTGTACTGTGGGAGACAAGATATAGTGAATGCAGGGTCCTGGGTTTAGTAACACTTTAAGCTTTGACAATACAACTGGAAGCTGATTGCTTTCTATGCAGAGCTGCACCAAATTTTGCACTCACCAGGTTTAGTAAATCAATCCCATAGTGTTTTATCCTTGGACCTGCCCAAGCTTTGGAATCAGATGTCAGAATCATATGTGCAGTCCTAACAGATGTTCGTCAAATTGTCATACCCAGCTAAAGTTCTCATTTATTTTAGTGAAACATCCAATAATCATGACTGCATTAAAAAATGTGTCACAAACCACAGGATTATAGTTCTTTCCACAGACATTTCCAATAATAACAATAATGTGAGGAATTTATCCCACAAATATAGTTTTGCACTTTGTGGCTTTTCTCCAACCCATGCCACGTGAATAGCTGCTGTGAAGCAGCTGTTTGTGATTAGAAATGAATGGACATCTATAGAAGAGTTAGGTGTAAAGACGATTGATATGAATAATCCTACTGTGCCTGAAACATTCACCTGATAAATTAGTTCCGACCATTTTCCAACAACACTAAACACTGACAGTGAGCAATATAGACAGGAGGTGCGAGAGGAGCTGAAAGAACTGATGGTATCACTACAGATAGTATAAATAATGTCTCTCTGAATTTGGCAACACATTTGTACAGATCAAAATATGGAACCTGTGCATAAAGCTCTACATTGTAAATATTTAACTGAAGAAATAGCTAACCTATTTCCATTTCTCTGAAATATATTTGGCTTAGCAAAAACTATTGCTATCAAATCAAATGAGCTACAACGGTGTTCATGGGAGTATATTTAATGCGCTTTTCTCACAGTCTGTGGGCCAAAATATTTTACTTAGGGGATTATTTACTAAACCCGGAGAGTACAAAATCCGATGCACATATACTAGTCAGCTTCCAGGTTGTATTGCCAAAGCTTAAAGCAGAGCTCCACCCAAAAGAAGAAGTTCCGCTTTAAGTCTTTGTCCCCCATTCCCCATTAACCACTTCAAGTCTGGACACCTTCACCTCCTTCTTGTTCAGGGCAATTTCAGCTTTCAGTGCTATCACACTTTGAATGACAATTGTGCGGTCATGTAACACTGTACCCATATGAATTTTTAGCATTTTTTTGAGACAGATAAAACTATATTTTGGTGGTATTTATTCACCACTGGGATTTTTATTTTTTTGCTATATAAATAAAAAATTCCAAACATGTTTTTCTTTTACAATTTTGCAAATAAGTCATCTTTCTTCATAAATCTTGGCCAAAATGTATTCAGCTATCTTTTTAGTACAAAAAAAAAATAACCCAAATTAGTTTATAACCAAAAATTATAATTTAAAAAAACATTTTTTTAATTTTTGTTTTTTTTATATTATTATTTATGGGGTTTTTTTGTTTACTACTACTACTTGTGGGGGGTGACAAAGATTTTTTTTATTTTTTACACTGATTGCTTTTATACCCATAAAGCTGTAAAAGCAATCATTTCTCCTTCTCTCTGGCTGCATTCTTGCAGCCATTGAGAAATACTGTGAGAGCTGTGATTGGTCACAGCTTGTCACATGGTACAAGGCTGTTGTGCATAGCCTTGTACCATGTGACCTATGTGTTCATTCACAGATTTCACTAGTAGTAAGCAATGATGTCAGGAAGTGACATCTTGTTTACTACCGTTCCTGTGATCACTGATTGGCCAGGAGGACACAGCGGGCACCGGATCACAGTGCAGCGCGCTCCCCAGGGAGCGCACACAGGCAGGGAATGTGGGAGGGCATTTATAAACAGCCACCCGCTCCTGCACTGCTCCTGTCCAGCTATTTATGTACATGAGCCAGATGGGAAGTGGTTAAAGATTGGCACCTTTCGGGAGTGGGGGGGGAGCAGGTAACCGAATTTGACAGGTACCCACTGGCTTTCCATTGCCAAACGAATAAAATTCAAAACATTAACAATAACATAAAAAACCATTTAAAACTCTACCCCAAATTACATCACCAATCTCCAAATATCACTCAAACCGTCCTCTCCACTCCTCCCACCACCTCCTGCTCTCTAGCTCCCTTATCTCCTCTCCCCATGCTCGTCTCCAGGACTTCTTCAGAGCCTCCCCCATCCTCTGGAACTCTATACCTCAATCTATCCGACTATCGCCTACTCTGCCCACTTTTAGGAGATCTCTGAAAACCTATCTCTTAAGGGAAGCCTATCCTGCTTCAGCAAATAACAGAATCTTCTATTTCTCCTATCAGTTCATTCCTCACAGTTATTACCTTTTGTACCACCAGCCCCTCCCTCTTAGCTTGTAAGCTCCAAGGAGCAGAACCCTCCTAGTCCTCTTGTATTGAACTGTATTGTTACTGTATTGTTTCCCGTTATATTGTAAAGCGCTGAACAAACTGTTGGTGCTATATAAATGCTGAATGATAATAATAATACCTGCTCCCACTTCTGCTGCACCTTTTTCTTCCACACTTTTCCCTTCCACATAACTTTCTATTAATGTGCTTTGATACAGCACTTTGGGAACATCCAACTTCTTTTGCATTTACCTTTTGAGGCTTTCCCTCCTTATGGAGGGTGTCAATGATGGTTTTCTGCACAACTGTCAGGTCAGCAGTCTTTCCCATGATTGTGATTCCTTCTGAACCAGACTGAGAGACCATTTAAAGGCTCGGGAACCCTTTGCAGGTGTCATGGCTTAATTAGCTGATTAGAGTGGGACACTTTGAGCCTAGAATATTGCACCTTTTCACAATATTCAAATTTTCTGAGATTTTGGATTTGGGGTTTTCATGAGCTGTAAGCCATAATCATCACAATTATGACAAATCACGACTTGAACTATCTTGCTTTGCATGTAATGAGTCTATCTCATATATTAGTTTCACCTTTTAACCACTTCCCGTCCGGCCGCTGTTTATAAACGGCAGGACGGGACACCTACAGGAGCGGGTTGCCGTCTCTAAACGGCACCTTGTATGTGAGGCTCGTGCGCGGCTCCTAGAGCGCGCACCCGCGAGCCCGATGATCGCCGAGTCCGACGGG